CCCAGGCCTTCCTACCCCCTGCTCGGCCAGCGGTCGCCGATGGCCCTCTCATCCTGTGCCTCGGTGGGCGAATGGCTGAGGGCCATTAAGATGGAACGCTACGAGGACAGCTTCTTGCAAGCTGGACTCGCGACTGTGGAGCAGCTGGGCCAGATCACGACACAGTCAGTCTTGACTTCCGTTCGTTTCTGTCACGGCATCGGTCGGCTTCTTAACATTTTTTTTTCAGTTGTTGAACTGATGCTGAATTGCAATTTCTCCCCCGCCCGCCAGAGACTTGCTCCACATGGGCGTGACTTTGGCCGGCCATCAGCGGAAGATCCTCTCCAGCATCCAGACCATGAGCTTCCAGAACAAGAACGCGGCACCTGTGACCTTCTAAGCTCGCCCAAAAACGGATGTCAGAAAATCAGCCCCGGAGCGCTCTGGATCCTCTCTCGTGACTTAACTTTTGGACCCGAAGCGACACGTTGGACAAATTTATTATTAATCACCCGGGGAGGAAAAAAAAAAAAAAAACGAGAATCAATGAGAGTTGCCTGGATTTCAATCATCACAGACGACGCCGACACGTGCGGGAGGACTCCTCGCGAAGTGGGCCCTGCTTATGTGTCGAAGGACCCCCCCCCTCCCCCCCTCCCCCATTTCAAGTGCCAAGCGGAGAAAGAACACAGTAGTGATGAAAAGCAGCTGCTTGTCAAATGCGGCAAAGAAGCTAAAGGCCAATGAAAAGGTCTCACACTAATTCACACAAGAACCACTCACACACGTCTGCTGCCCTCTCTGGATCACAGCTTTCATATCACCAACTGAACATTTGAACAGTGTTGGGGGTTTCTCCCCCCCCTCCCCCCACCCACCCCCATATTCATTCATTTGATTTCAACGTGAACTCTCTTTTACTCAGGTGTGGCGTGTAAAGCGGGCTTTGCCGTGCTCGCTTGTCATCATAACTCCTCTCATCCTCCTCCGTCTGGCTCTCGCGCGGAGGAGAAAAACGAAAGACGGCACTTGTCGCAAATGAGGCAGTTCGAATGTCCGTTGCGGCGCTGTTTTGGTTTTTTTTTTCCAGGAGCGGAACATTTTCTGCAGCATGCTTATATGGAAACTTGAACGTGGACCAAACATGACCAGAAACCTCTCTGGCCTCAGATGTCAGTGCTGATGTTACGTTCATTATCTTCCAGTGCCATTTTTTGTTTTTTTGTGCGTGTGAGAAAAAGTGACTTTTTTTTTTTGGAGCGTTAGAATATTTTGCTACATTTAAATGTACGGCAACTGTATTTTTTATGACATTATTTTCCTTTTCAACGTCATACATTGTTTCTCTTTTCGCCTCGAGCTGTACAAAAAGTCTTCTTAAGGAACTCGGATTACAAATAATGCCCCCAGTGTGCCGAACGCCCCGGTTTCAGAATGGAATGCTGATAACTGCGCAGAGCTGCTGTTTGATTAGCGCCACTGGCCCTCTCCTCATCTTACTGACTACAGGCGCTTGGTAAAGAAGAGACTGTAATTCCGTTTTTTTTTTTTTTTTTTTTTAAACTCCCAAGATTTTGCATCTTTTGAAAGGGTAAAAGTCTTTCTGGCATTTACAGCAAATTAGTTTGCATAACGCCCCCCAGGAGGCTGACAGCTCTTGCAGCGAGTGGGGAAACCCATGCACGCAACGACCATGTCGGATACCAAAAAGCGCAACTTCTTTCCAAATGCTTCATTCTCCGGGCCATAAGACACAGAATCCTGTTTTTTTTCCCGATTTTTATTTACACCACTGAAGATAAGTGATGTAATACACCAGGGGTGGCCAACCCGCGGCTCGCGAGCCGCGTGCGGCTCTTTGGCTGGTTCAATGCGGCTCCCGGGGCTTTCACACGACAAGCGACGAAACACCTCACCGGTGGCAACGCCATTCAAACAACGGCGCTCAATACACAGAATGTATCACGTCAGACTATCCTCAATCCCGTTACTTGATTGATACAGAGGGCAACCAATCAGATGACTGAATCATCACTCATGCGCAAACAACGGCGCTAAACGCTAAGCTAGTCAGCGAATTACCTCTGATGTCAATGCAGGGGTGCCCAATACGTCGATCGCAATCGTTCAGGCCGTTCTGGCTGTTACTCATCGTGGCGTGCGTGCATATGTGCGGGAGTGCATGGTTGGGCACCAGGTGGTTAGCATGCAATAGCCAAATTTATTTCTCAACAAATCATGTGTCTTTGATCATTTATCTAAAAATAAGCGCCCCGGTTGTTGGGGTGTTGGGTGTGTGTGGGTGTGTGTGGGTGTGTGTGTGTGTGTGTGTGTGTGTGTGTGTGTGTGTGTGTGTGTATGCTTGCACGTGCGCGAGAAAGGGTATGATGTGGCTCTTTGCAGTAACAGTAAAAAAATTGGCTCTTCGTTTCTGACTGGTTGGCCCCCCCCACCTCTCTTTTTTTTCCCCTCGCTGTACCTGATGGAGCAGATTGTAGCGCACAGGAGCTTAAACGTGGCTTTTCTATCATCTGGGATCATTTTCGGTGGCTTTAAGAAGATTGAGGCACAATTAACCCGGGGTGATTAACAAGAAGCCGGCGAAATGAGGTGCAGGAAATGTGCGGCCATTTTACGGCCGCACTTTTATAATCAATACAGAGTGGACTCAAGACTGCAATCAGCGTAGATCAAATTGGCGCTTAGTGCGCCGTCTTTTCTAATGCTCATCTAAACCACGACAAGCCTTCATCCAAAGCACTGGGGATGTGACGCAAGTATGACAGATGGTCCTTCTGAAGGATCGCGGGAAATGGGGTCTTCATATTGAAGATCTCGGTCTACTCCACTTTGAAATAATAGAGTACAAAAAAAAACAAAAAAAAAAACGAAAGGTATGTTTGATTACTGTCCTGTGTGTAGGCTACTTTGTATTCAGCATTCACAAATAAAGATGCTCATAACTATTCGTTGTCGAAGACGTTTTATTTGTCAGTCGGTACGAGAAGGAATCCAAGCAACTTAAAAATCAGCCACCGTGTATTTTTTTTTTGGTTTGTTTTTTTTTTTTTGTGTGTGTGTGTGAGAGATGCTACGACAGAAGACGATCAGTCAGAACTAAAAAGAAAAACCATGGAGCCAAAACATGGATAAAGCCGAAATGAGTGGACGTCCAAAATAAAGAAACAGGCTCGTATGCTGTTCACTGGAAAGTCAGAACTATTAAGTGAGCGAACAAATTCCAGTTTTTATTCGCTTTGATACTTAGTTGTCAGGGCTGGCTGATGAACAGGATTTAATCATCCATCCATCCATTTTCAGATCCGCTTTATCCTCACAAGGGGCGGAGCCGGGATCAAACCCACGACCTCTGCACCGTGAGGTCGATGCGCTAACCACTGGAGCGCCGTATGATTAAAATTTGTGGACAAACAAAAGATTTTCAGGCCACATCAAGTGGTTCACTTTTGTAGCTTCATTGCTACCTCGGCACCAATGTCACGGGGTCGGGGTCAACAGTTCATGTTCTATTATTCAGTCAGGAGCCTGTTTGTATCCAAACAATGTTCAAATATGACTGAAAACGTGCTTTTTACTGTTGCGAGAGGTTTGATGTTGGCAACACTTTGAATGTGGAACAGAGTATATTCTTCTTCCTTTTATTCCCTTCCTTTTTATGTTTCATAATTTGAAAAACGTGCTTGGAAAGATTGCACTGGCCCTTTTCAGCGTACGAGTACAGTACTCTTGAGATGACATCACAAAGTCCCCATGTGGCCTTCAAGTGAACATCCACGTCATTAGCCTGTCTTGGGTCTCTTCTGACAGGCCCGTGTGACCCGGCGGCGACGCCTGTCTTAAAGTCTAAACGGTACAATAAAGCAGATCCACCTTTTGACCAAAGACATTTCCAGATAGGTTTCAACCTCCCCGTTTTTTAAAGTTCTTTTCATTGCTAACAGATGTGAAGTTGCAGCTCCTTGTCTTTCTTGTTCATATCAAAAAGAGCTAAAGGGCTTTTGGGGTGAGGGGGGGGTCTCTCATCTCTCCCGCCGCCCCACTTTTATTAACAAGAGTGCAATATTGAGGTTGACTCCCGGCTTGTGTTTCTCCAGAGAACGTTTGCCCCAAAGGCTGGGAGCTTGTCCTCTCCTCTCTGTTTCCCTTCCTGGTCCTCAGCCCTTTTTAATCAGGAGGAGATGTTCTTTTCTTCCCTTCCGCCCCGGGCTCAGACGGGCTCACAGCGAAGACGACGAGGCTTAAACTCCGGCGCTCCGCTTCGTACCGTAACCGGGCGAACCTGCCGGGACTTTTTCGAAAGTCTGCCTGATTAATGCGCTTTGATGATCTCGTTCCTGACTCGTTGCTCTACTTGCGATGCTCTCGCGCGGCCCCAGAAGCATCCCGGCGGTGACGGTAAATAAAAGCCATATATATTTTTTTTTGTTGTTGTTGAATCAAAAGACAGCCCTCGCATTCATCTCTGGTTTCTACTTCTGTCAGTGCTGGGAGTGACCCTTGACCTCGCCGTATAGGGCAAATCCAGCTGCAGCTTTGTCCCGCCGTCTGAATGGCTATTCATTAGCGAGCAGGCCGACCAGCTTTTTGCATTCGGCGGATTGTGTCATTCCACTCGCATTCCTGTGTGCATTCAAGTGTGCGGCTGTGTGTGTGTGTGTGTGTGTGTCAGTGGGACAGGTACATGTGTGTGTATTCGAAAGGAAAAGAGGGAGTGGGGGGCCCTGAGGGGGTGGGGAAGCAGCATGTGATCCTGTATGCGGGGGGGAAAAAAAAAAATACTTCCATTACTGTTCCAAATGCATATCACACACTGCCCGTGTGTAAAGTAATCACTGAAAATAAGCGCAGCAATTTGTGTGGAGCTGTTCAAACGGTAAGAAGCTCCATTTTGGTTTCTCATCCTTCTTTATGTGCGGTGTGGACTTGAAAGTATGTGTGGGGAACGCCTCGGGAAGAGGCTTGAAGCAGCATGTGACCACGGAGGGAGAGAAAGTAGGTTCACTCATAATACATGTTGCATGTTGCATGTGTGTGTGTGTGTAAAAAAACACCCCATAAAATATGATGAGAGGCAAGCAATGGTTGCCAGTCATTCTGCAAGCATAAATAGATGGACAAACATTCATTCACGTTCACACCATTGCGCAATTTAGTGTCCAACATGCATGATTTTGGAACGGGGAAAGGCAGTGCGTGCCATCAAGATTGAAACTCTGGATGATTTTTTTTTTTTTTTTTTGAAAGACGATAGTGGTTGAAAATAGTTTCGATAAATTTGAATAAGCCGATTTTGGTTAAACATCGATTGCTTTAATGTGTCGGCGCAGAAAGAAGTGACTGCATATTGCTAATTATTCAAAATGAGTATACGAATCCTAATTCGCAATAGCTAGTACCTGTATATTAATGATCCTACAGTTAAGTCGAATAGTATAGTACGCAACAAGGCAAGAGAGAGTCGCATAATGCATCTCGCTTTTTGATTTTGACAGTTTAATTGTCATGCAAGTGTGAAAAAGATCATGACTGTTCGGAGTGAAAAGTCAAAACTGCGCAGCGGTTAGAGCTCTTGACATTTTGTATGAGTTGGATCTCACATCGGGCCGTCCGACTCTGGGGAGGCTCCACTGTATTTATATGATACACCCTTTATAATCAAACTTGACTGGACTAATTTGGCTTCTCCTCCTCCTTTTTCATCCTTGGAAGCAGAAAGGAGGACATTTTCGATTTCAAACTAAATCAAATGCAAACTTGAGCCGCCAGATCTCCTTGGAGCCAGATTTCCTTTGGCAGGCAGCTTGCTCCAAAAGTCTTGATGTTTGTCGGTCAAGCAGCCAAAGCAGATGACGCTTTACCTTAGATCACCGGTGTCAAACTCAAGGTCACCGGGCCACATCTGGCCCCGGCACATCATTTTATGTGGCCTGTTGGAAGCTTGCCGCAAAATTTCCTTGACTTCTACCTGAGAACTAATCATAACCAAATACGGGGGCAATTATGTAATATGATGCTGTGCTCATTAGGGCGCCCACATAGAGCATATGAAGGCAGGAATAAGAAAGGTAACCTTGTCCGTCGGAAACACAGTGCAGAACAGCTTCTGGCTTGCAGACATCGTGGCTACCCATGTGTTTAAAAAAAAAAAAAACACTCCCGATGAAGCGCTTGCGCAACAACCGACCCTCAAGTAATCTTTGGGGTTGTCATGTCACTCCCTGCTGCTCGCTGTCCTGTCTGTTGACTTAGTTTGGAGCCAGGCGGCGGCAGGCCCACCTGCTCAAATAGAGCGGGCTAAGACTGTCATTACGTCCTCAGGCTGCGGGGAAGTCAATGTGGAATTAAGTTTGGACTTTCCACCGCCCGGCTCATCTGCAGACGACAGACCCCTCCCCCTGCTGTCTCTTCAACGTTATGATTGTCGCACTTCATTTCTCGGGGAGATTACTTCCGAGCTGTCGCTCTGAGAATGCATTTGTGCAAATTGTATTGTTTGATTTCCAAATTAAAAATGTGCCGAAAGGTGCGTACACAGCCTGCTGCTCCTTCCTTATTTTGATTCTTTTTTTTTTTTTTTGCTACTATTATCCATGAATTCATACTAAAGAAATAAGATTACCGATAGGCAAGCCAAAGTCTTCCATTTCTGTCATGGGAGGAAGTATATAGAGCAAACCCACGCAAGTACCGGGAGAACATAAAACTTCACA